AGCAAAACTGTACACGTCCCCCTTCTGTGTTCCCTCGCACGGGACGTTCTGCTGCTTCAGCAACTCGGGACCCGACCACAGTCTACCTGCAAACAGACAGTAGACAATAAGACTGTAGACAAATTGACAGTAGACACTGACAAGACGTGACAATCCTTCTACAAATACCAGTAGAAAGTGAATAGATGTGACGGTCTACTTTCAAATAGACAGTAGACACTGGCAGTCACCGTGCATTTATGTAGACACTGACTGCACTTTAGTCATCGAAATATGTTATTTTGAAATGACTAGATTCACCACATGTGACTTTGAAAATGAACACCAAATTTGAGAAATTTATTGAAAGAAGCGCCGTAAAGTATCCCGATTTTTTTTTCCCGAATGAACACTTCACACTGCTTGATCCCAGCACGCTTTCTTTATCCGTACATTGGCTGTAGGTGTGCCACAGCGACAGTAGCAACGTGTCCGAAATATTGCCGATGCGACGTTTCAGTTTAGACTAACTCACACTCATTGAGACAATATCAATATATCCTGATTGACGTACTCTGTTGCAGCGCAAAGTCCATTTCATCAAAGTCGTCATCCGTCTCCCGGAAGTAGTGGAGGCCAAAGTCTGTTATCTTGACCACAAACCTGCTGTCAACGACACAGTTCGTACTTTTTAACCTCCCGTGACTCTTAGCTTCACTGCTGTGCAGGTATGCCATTCCCTGAAAAGAACCCCACAAGCTTAGTGATCACTCTGCGCTAAACAGTAAGCCAGACACAAACATTGGTTTTATCCGTGATCACGTGCATCATGGTGTATGAGTGAGTCAGTTTTGACGCCGCTTTCAACAGTAATCCGGTTATATCACGGCGTGGCAGCTTTATGTGGGAGAAAATCCCATAGTGATGCAGGCTTTAGACGTTTACCACTTTGGTGAAACCCACAATGTAAAACAATTAGCGTACAAGAAACGTCACTTTAACTGTTACATTTTGATGATATCTTACCATAAACCCCGTCACTACCACGACTAGTACTGAATGTTTGCGAGAAATCTTTCCAATGAAACATATTTACGCCCTCGTGTGTTGTATTTACGGTGTGCTCTGGTCAAACAGAGCACTATGGGATATCATCCGGGCGAGTTTTGTCGGAGCCATTTTTGTACAACGCTGTAAGTTGTAAGTAAATTCCGCTAAATTATTTATTGTATTATCACCGATTTATTTAAAAAGAAACAATTGTTTTATCAATTCAGGTATCTTAAGAAGTTTTAATTTGTAAAACACTTCTTCTGATGTTGTACGTATAAATACAGCATATATCGTACCTCGTAGCTGATTGTCAGTACAAGTATCGTACATAAAACGTTCCGGTCGTAGGTACGGGCGTACCGTGGGTACGGTATGAACGTTCTCATGTAAGGTATTTTTACTGACAACCAGGTGCCAGGACTTTTATCTTACAAAATACGGGATTTTGTTTGCACGGATTTATTTTAGTGCAGGAGCACGGGTGTGGTGCTGACACACCTTGAAACAAAATCGCGCAAATCGGGATTCACACCCACGATCATAGGTTTCTGACGTGCCCATTGCAAGGAACGCATCTCTGCACCCGAACCCACTCTGAATGTAGGACATGCTGCCCGTTGTTTGTGTTGAGTATTGGAAAAGAAGGAACTAATAACTTCTGTGACTGCAGCTGTTGTATTCAGTATTCACGGATGTGTAGCAGCCAGCATCTTGTAACAAGGGTGTATGAAGCATCTCACCCTGACTATGTCCTGCATGATGGAGTAGCGGAACATCCAGTCCAGCTGTATCTCGTCGTTCTCCAACACATCCTGGAAACAACAGGCAGGGGGAAATGTAATACCAGAATAGGAACATACAGGCAACGCACCTCAACTGAAAAGCCACTTTGGTACGACCATCAACAGAGTGATGCGGACCTATTCCATTCCGGTACCCGGGGTGGCACTGAGGCAATGTCCCGAACATGTCTAGTTTGTAGTCGTTCCCTTATTTTTACCCTTAAGTATATATTCGACGGCACCGTCTACCACATAATAATGAATTGAAGGATGTACAAAGGAATATATGCTAATCAATTAAAGACAATGATTCACCTTGGCAACAAAATGTTTCGGCTCATTAATAGAAGAACAAATCTCTTTGCCTACCCCTACATAGCATCGCTATATATTGGGTGATCAGTGAATGTTTCACGCCGCAGTCAGCAATATCCCAGCTATATCTGGGCGGGGTTCGACTACTGGATCAAGCAAACTAGTAGATGATAGCGCAAGCAACGAACTACGTTCTCGTGGTACAATGACAGCGTAGCCACCAAGCGATGTCGCGTCTTACGACAAACATTGAGTACAGATGACCCATTGTGATAGAGGGTGCGCAGGATTTATATTTGACAACTTAAATACACAAATTAAGGGTATTTTGTTATTGTATATGCACGTTTTCAGTATTCCCCTTAAAGTTTGACAAGTAATGGTTTGCGGGTGTCAGATTCAAACATTGGTCTGTAGGAAGGTAACGTGACTACCTGTAGGCTCCCCTTGGGGCAGTATTCCGTCAGTATACACTGGTGGGGGGAGTCCAGACACGCCCCTATAAACCGCACCACGTGGTCATTCTGTAAATCTTTTATCTGTCAAATAGAGCAATACATCTACAATCAACACATGTGATCACAAGGGGGAAGGGTTACATATGGTGCATATGTTATAAACATGAACCCCGCTCTGTCGTTTAAGCTAGAGTAACTAATGAAAAAGTATGACGTCAGCGGGATTCGAACCCGTGAAGTCCGAACAGAAGTATAGCCAGTGTAGTGTATTGCAACGATTCTTTTGAAAACAAATTGTGTTGCTGTAACAAATCAATATTTACTTACTACAGAACTACTTGTCAGTCTGTCGTGTTTACTAGTATATACTGTACCGCAAAAGAAACGTCACCATGGATAGATATATGAGAAACCGTATTTATCCAAACACTGTAAACATACTTTGAGACATAATTATTAAAAAGATGAAACTTGGCAAAACTGATCATCAGGTTGAAATTATTTTCGTGTGTCCGACATGTGCATTGATGACTGCCGTGCAACGTCGATACATGGAATTGATGAGGCGGTTGATGAAGGCCAAAGGCACTTGAGCTCACACTCTGAGGAACGCCTGACAAAGTTCAGCTGCAGTTGTCGACCTTGGTCGGACGTCATTCAGCCGTCTTTGAATCTCGTCCCACAGGTGCTAAATCGCGACTGAGGGCAGACCACTGCATGGTCCTGATGCCATTCTGCTGGAGGAAGTCTATTGTTGCTTTCGCAGTGTGGGCACGGGCGTTATCATGCTGAAACTCGTGGTTGCGGCGACGTGCCAAATGAGTTATGGCGTGTGGTCTCAAGACTTGATCAATGTACCGAGCTGCTGTGACACCATTGCCTCTCCCTGAACCGATGTTCTGGAAGACCACTGGGCCGACCCTCTGTGCAGGACCAATTCCACCCCACATCATGATGCTCGGACCACCCAACGAGTCTCTCTCAACAACACAAGCATCCGAATAACGTTCCCCACGGCGTCGGCAGACTTTCTGCCATCTGCTGTTGAGATACAGTAACGGCTCTCGTCTGAGAAGAGGACGCTGGTGGCGCCAATGCTGGTGCTGTGTTGCCCACTGAAGACGGTACCGGTGGTGACGTGGTGTCAGAATGGGTCCTCGGTGTGGCCTGTGACAGTGGAGATGTCTGCTCGTCAATCGTCGGCGCACGGTGTCCGCGCTAATGTGTCGCTGGTGTGTCCCCATGGTCTGTAGAGCAGTTTCCGTAGCAGTAACAAAGCGATCTTGGAGATGCTATCGCACAATCTGACGATCCCGACGTCGGGTGGTGACCCTTGGTCTTCAACTACGTGGTCGGTCATCTGTAGTGTTGGTGGTCTGGTACCGTTGCTGGAGCCTGCATATTGTCCTTACGTGGACTTGAAATGCATTGGCTACTTGCCGGGCGGTTTGTCCAGCTTGCAATCGTCCAAGGGCTTGGTGTCGCTGATTTCTTGTCAATCTTGGCATGTGGTAGCAATTCAATAACGAATGAATGTTATCCGATCTGGGTGGGTTTTTATAGGGCAAGGAATGGGGGAACGCATGTGCATTTAAATTTGCATGGAACTCACGTGCATCGGGTTACCATGGCCGTTGCCGTGATGCGTTTTGGGCGATAGGTTTTATTGTCATCTGCTTTGTTTTTTAATCATCAAATTTCATTAATCCGGACAAAGTAATGTTAAATTTTAGAAACTTTGACAAAAATTACACAGATATTTAAATGACAACTTTTCATGCAATGTCACTTGGGGTGACGTTTCTTTTGCGATTCAGTGTATAAATTAAAATGCATGGAAGTATGATGTAGTAATTTTGAAGCAGAAAAATATACTCATTCTTGATCAGAACTATGTTTACTTATGATGAACCCATCAATATCAGAAAGTGACACCTAGGCAATAATTGATGGTGGCACTTGTACTGTCAGATCCTATACTATACTTGCCCCGGGAGCGGGGCTCAGAAGCGAGGGCTCAGGAAACATGTTAGGGGATGACTCACACAGTGCTCTTGAAAACAAGCTTTTGAAAATCTATTTTAACAATACATAGGGTTCCTATTTTCTGTGGATAATGTCCATGGTTTAAATTTTCGAAACATGGCTGTCGCGTGTCTTCTTCTATTACCAAAATAAATATACCATCACTTTGATGAGGAGAAGCGAAAACTAGGGAAACAAATTACGTATTCATAACTGTTGTATTTGACAGAACATATTGTCAATGTTGTGTGCGTGTTGAGGGATTAAAATTAAAAGTTCGATGTTAGATAGAACGCGTCGTTTCCCACCAGATAAAATCACCTTTTTGAGGGAATGTAAGTACTGGTGAGATGTGTTTGTCACCTTATGTAATGAAGTTTTCTATCCAATTGGTGCACGGCTTCGGAAGATTCCATCGTTTAGCAGCACAATATCGACAAGTCAGGTAACTGTCATGAGGAAGTCTTGTTGCAATTAAACTTTATTTATTTAATCAACACCAACTCACCGTTTTGACCTCCAACAGTAAAGGTTTATGTATTGTGATGCTGGACCGTGAGATGGGTTTGATGGCTATGATAGCGCCCTGAAACACCCAACACACACACATTAACTCACTCCAATGATTGTTGATAGAAGCAGGCATTCATGGGCAGATATGGCGCACTATACATACCTCAATCAATTATCATTAATAATAATATTGTCAGTATTATTATTTCTATTATTACTAAACTTGGATGCGCATATAAAAAAATATTATGTGAGGAAATAACAGGACAAGAGGTCTACAACGCAAACAACAGTTGTAACGGAAAACACATTGACGGCAAGGTGCCACAAGTTATCTCCCTTCAATTTAATGCACAATTGTGGCCTGCGTGTTCTTGGCTGGTTGGTTGGTTTGTTGTTCAACGCCGCTCTCAGCAATGTTCGAGCGATATGACGGCGGTCTGTAAAAAATCGCGTCTTCACCAGACAAACCAGTGATTGACACCATGAGCATCGATCCACGCAGTTGGGATTCGACGTGTTCTAGGAATAAGTTTGATCTTTTGTTTGTTTGTTGTTTAACGCCGCAATGTTCCAGCTATATGACGGCGATCTGTAAACAGTCGTGTCTGAACTAGCCAGTCTAGTGGTTGACATCATGAGCATTGATATACGCAATTTATTGGGATACGAAGTTGAAGACCAATTCTACCCCACATCACGGGTCAACTGTAATCTGACTGGAAACAGTTCAAACCCTAATTAGAGAACTTCCTGTCGCCCTGGATCCATATTAGCGGTTTGTTTCCTAGCTACGAAACGCAACATGAAGTGTAAGAGGTGTATTTTTCTTAAATACTCTACAAATCCACCGATAACATAATTTACAAATATTGGGGAAATAACACGAGCGTATTTCTTCTTGCTATCGTTTCTGCTAACCAGACAACCGTCATTACATTTTGAATACAAATGGCTGAGTAATGGTCTAAAATGTCTATTTCAAAATGGCTGAGGTGGCGACCGTATTGAAATTCAGATTCGAACCTCTTCAGTAAACTAAGCGGGTGTCGTTTCAGCCTCAATTGCACAGCAGTTGCTAAGGAGATGTTGATTTTCAATTTATTTTTGTCTTTTCAAACATGGCCACTGGCAGCCATATTTGATTTCCGATCAAGAAGTTATAAACAAACTTAATACTTCACTCATCAAATTTCGCGCCACTTGCCCTTTATTTAGAAGTAGTTTTTATTTTCTTAAATCAAATATGGCTAACAGGCGGTCATATTGAAATTCCAATTTTGATGTCTTGAACAAAACTAAACACCTGTAAAGTAACACCCAACGCACAAAATCAGCTGAATCCATCTAGCAATTTAGAGCGTATCATACATCATTTCATATACTTGTGACGACTTCAGCTCGCATCCACGTGGCCACGTGACAGTTCTCAGTCTGCAACACAGTGCATCAGGATGGTGTTTGAAGCGCCAATACAATCACAAGGCAATCGGTGATTTTGAAAACCAAATGTTGTATGTTGTTGGCAGTAAAGTTATCTGAAAGAGGATTTTGATATGCGGGACCCCTCCCTTGATAAGTGAGTGTACGTTTGTCGCCGTACACATTCCATGACGGATGTTTTCACTGATACTAAACTCACGGCAAATTTCTTTATCATAAATTAAATGTGTATAAAACAGAAATAATACTCTTTGTTCAGGAGTACCTTCAACGTGTATTTTCATATTTGAAACATGGTGTCATTATATATCTTCCAACAAATACCTGAACGAAAGTCCACTCGCCGGGACTTCGGGTAAGCTTATTGGTCCCCAGCAACCAATGCTTGTCGTAAGAGGCGACCAAATGGATCGGGTGGTCAGGTTCGGTCAGGCTCGGTCAAGCTCGGTCAGGCACGGTCACTTGGTTAATTGCATGTCAACCTATCCCAATATTCGTGGATCAAGGCTGGTGATGTCAATAACAGTAATGTCTTGTCCAGACGCGAATATTTACAGATTGACGTCATATAGATTATTGTTGGATGCGGCGTAAAACAACAAACAAAACTAAACCAAAGTCTGTTGGAAGTAGGAAATAATCTTAATGTTAATTTGCGTTTAAAGAACTGTTTATTGAGTCATGTCCAGCTAAATAAGTCAGATCGGCCTTCGCACAATGTCATGAATATATGCAGATTTAGAGAATATATGACACCTGCGTCACTTCGGCCACTAAGCTAGACATTTTCTTGTCTTACCGACTTTAACGAGAACATTCCTGGTCGATGGGTTTGGGAAAATAAAAATGGCACTTAACATTATTGACGCTGTCCTTCAAAAGATTATCTTAAGATATTGCCACGTGTTCAATGATTGTTAAGATCGTCCTTTCATATATAGTAACATGAAACTGTGCACAATTATATCCGTATTTAAGATGTAAGCATGCATTTGGCCGATGAAATAAGTGCTTTTCATTTTAAGCGTCGACTGAATGCGCATCATTTCCTTTTTAAAAGTTACCCGTTTGTGTGTTTTACCTTGTAATACCCTGTCTTTGTAAACAACTGTCTGTTGCCAACGTTGTTCAGGACGGCGATTGTGTCCCTCGAACAGGAGCTGGAGAACGAGACCCGCTGTAACAATAGAGTTATGTATCATGTTTCATGCATACCAATATGCAGTTGAGAATAATCGATAATAAGGAATAGGGTCATGATCCCTGCAACAAGAACCTGCATCACAGACAGAATGCAAACATTACAGACAGATTGCTTGCAAGGACATGACCATGTGACATTTATGATTTGTTTGTTTGTTGTTTTACGCCGCACTCAGCAAGAGTCCAGCTATATGACGGCGGTCTGTAAATAATCGAGTCTGGACCAGACAATCCAGTGATTAATATAATATAATATGTTACAAGGAAAGCGCATGTTGTTTTACGTCACTGTTCGGTAATATTCCAACCGAGGTGATCTTGGGCGTTTAACACTTTCGTGAAACCCACGAACACGAGTATGGTGATGAAAATGAATCACTTTTGAAATCAAAATTTCATGTGTAATATTTTGCACCTGGGGTGTACATTCAGAGATATGTAGTTCATAGTTTTACTCGCTGACTTACAAACCTCAACCGCACCAGGATCCGGTGATAATTGGTTCGAATCCCATATGAGCCCCATTGTCATCCTTGAACAGCATCCTTGGTCACCCCTCCTCGTGGGTGTCAAGGGTCATCGACGCAATACTTACCTCAGCATTTTTGCCCTTTCCGCTCCGATCAAGTTTCTTATTTTTGCCAGGGGATCCGAACAGGATGTCATCCCACTTCACTCGCCAGTTCATTTCCGCTAACTCTGCCTCTAGCTTTATATGTCTGTGGGCAGAAATCATCACTATCATAATAATCATCATTATAATCACCACCGTCGCCTTGTCCAAGTGTCATCATACCAATTGAAAGAAAAGGTCAGTGATAATCTTTTGTATTTCATATCTCTTGAACATGTGATGAAAGTGTCAAGGCCTCGTCAACTCGGCAAGCATGACTATAACACTGCATGAGAAACAGGAGGCTATAAACAATTACAAACATTATCGAGACGTTACTAGGTTGAAAACAGTCGCCGAAACACTGCAAACTCAAAGTGCAAACAAACACCATATCCGTATGAAATACATCACCATCACCATCACCATCGAAAAGAATTCTCGCTTTTTTTTCATTTTTAGCCATCATCAAACGTGGGTGTATGCTTTCTTTTGCCCGTAAGTTTATACTTACCTGTATATAAAGAACGTGGCCACCAAGACGATCAGCAGCACGGAACCCAGGACAATGATCACGATGCCGTACTCTGGAAAGGGCTCTACAAACAAAATGTGGGCGAGTGAGTGAGTGAGTGCGTGAGTGAGTGAGTGAGTGAGTGAGTTTGCTTTTAAGACGAGATTACGGTTTGCATGCTATTCATTCGTCATCTTACCCCAACCCTTGACCCTTGGTAAGCCACGATCAGTTGCGTTGTGACCTCACAATTTACCCCGTATGACTCTGTATGAGGTCCGCCCACTTGCGTGTACCATTGTGAAGAAAAGGCGTAGTGGGTGGTTAGCGACAAGTTTTGTTTGTTTGTTTGTTTATTGATTAACGCCGCACAATTTCCAAGCTGTATGAAGGCGGTCTGTCAATAATCGAGGGAATACGCAATAGGGAAACGATCACATGCATCAACCAAATCAGCGATCCTGACCATCCGATCCCGTTAGTCGCCTGTTACGTCAAGTGTGGATTCCTGAAGACCCATTCCGACCCGGATCTTCACGGGTCTCCGCGACAAGTACTACGATGGATATGTGCGTGTCTCGGCTAACAACGACTTCTACCAGCGAATTCAATAGCACATAAGAGCACATGCTGATGTTTTTTACCCGAAGAAAACAAATGTGCACAGATAACACAGTTGTGTAGTATCGTGACAATGAAAGGACTACTTTTTAACCCCAGAGAGCAGTAATGAATAGTGTCAGTCATGAAATGTTTGTGAGAGTTGAGACCTTAACGAATTTATTGTCGACATTCTCCTTAATTAATCTGATGTATTTGTTTATGGATTTTTTTGTAATTATATTATATCTTTCAAACGACTTTTAGAGAATTCTTGCATCGACTTGTCACCTCTCAATGGTCTAATCAGGACTACGTCTGTCCACGGGACTGTGGTCAATTTCATCGTCATGACCTACACGTGCACACATGCGTACACCCTCTCAACCAGTATCAAATTAATTAAGTTTAACCAAATTCTGTGCATCGCCTACTTGTCTGAAACTGGCTTTGTGAGTAGGTTCAACTTATCCTTGATTACCAGTAGCTACATGTATTCGCAGCCTGTTCTTGCCACGACACAGGTATATAAACCAGGATCCCCCGCCAATCCCTCTGATCTGCAAGCCAGTGTGCTTCAACCACTCGGGGATTCTGTACAGTTCGCCCTTAACATGCATTCCGACGACATCATTGTAGGAAGTATCAACAAGACATGGTTCTTGTGTTTATGAAGACACTGATCACAAACAGATAAGGTGCAAAGGCACCTGGATGATCTAAAAAAGGCACACCGATAAAATTCGACATTGTTTAGAGAAACAGCTGAGAGATTATAGCAAGACACTTGTGCTGCATGTGCGAAATTTACTCTTAGCCGGTCGAGTCCACTAAACGAGAGGGGTGAATAACACTCAAGCTGATAAATGTGGTGTTCGATATGAAAACATTTTCCACATTTATTAGGCGAATGGCATTTTTTGTTCGGTTTCTAAGAGGAATTAATCCCTCTCCTCGGTTGAGCTTGGGTTTATAAAGGCACCCCCTCCCCAAGCCACACCACCCCAACCCCAGTTCTCTCAGTTTGAGCTGATCCAAGCATTACCTCGGAGATCTTCTTTACCTCGTGTAAACAGAGGTGCAGGTTTGCAAGTCTTCCCAACGCATTTGGCAAGGAAGCAAGTCGTTTCCTTCACCAAGCCTTAAAAATATTAGTCTTCTTTTGAGATAAAATCGGATATTTTCGCTGTATTTTTTCCAAACAGTTTGCAAAATAAATAACGCCCAATTAATGCAGTGCTATTTATCTATAGACACAAAACCCACAAAATCAATATTTGTTAGACTGACGAGTGGTATTGGATTGTTTTCATTTTGCACAATAAACATGTCGTCAGTCCAAATGTATTCTCTTGGTGAGTGTGTGTTGTTTACATCGGAGTCAGCAGTATTCCAGCCACGTCACGGCCGGTAAATAATTCGGCAACAGCCAATTAGTGGTTAATATCATGAGCACTGATCCACGCCGTAGGTTGGTTTGGTTGGTTTGTTGTTAACGCCGCACTCAGCAATATTCCGGCGGTCTGTAAATAATCGAGTCTGGACCAGACAATCCAGCGATTGATATCATGAGCATCGATCCACGCAATTGGCATCGATGACATGCTTCAATCAAGTCAGCAAGCCTGACCACCCGATCCCGTTAGTCGCCTCTTACTACAAGCGTAGTCGCATTTGACGGAAAGCATGGGTTGCTGAAGAGCGCGGCAAGCATCACGCCGTAGGGGTAGAACGACACATGGTCGTCGATACCACATATTGTTACCACCCGATCCGTATTAACCGGATGTTAGCTCGTGCCCCAGGGTGGGTACATGTGACAGTGCCTTTCATTACAGCATCGTTGTGTTACATGTATATTGGGAAATATACATGATATAATATAGATGCATAAACAATACATAATTTTTTTTTTTTTTTTTTTTTTTTTATAGTAATTTGGGGTTAACGTGAAACGTGATGTATACATGCATGTGGTGTATATCAATAAAATATATAGAGACTATTTTTTAAGGTGTCTTGCATTCCAGCGGGACCCTGAAGCCCATTCCTGGTGTCCCCCGCCGTGATATTGCTGGAATATTGCTACATGCGGCGTAAAATCAAACTCACTCCAGCGGGACCCGGGGAAATCCGGGGTAGAATAGGTCTTCAGCAACCCTTGCTTGCCGTAAAAGGCAGTTTTGCTTGTCGTAAGAGGCGACTAACGGGATCAGGTCGTCAGGCTCGCTGACCTGGTTTGAAGCACGTCATCGTATCCCAGTTGCGTTGATCGATGCTCATGATGTCAATCACTCGATTGTCTGGTCCAGACTCGATTATTTACATACCGCCGTCATATAGTTGGACTATTGCTGAGTGCGGCGTTAAACAACAAACAAACAAAAAACACCCCTGCCTTTATAGAAGTTATATCGCTACAATTATGAGAGACATTTTCTGTGGCAGTACTTTATGTTGAGGAGAAAACATTTAAAAAAAAATGTAAATGCAAGACAGAAAGAAAAGAGGGCTTTTCACGACCCCATGTGTTTTTAATTTCAACCAAAACCGAAGAGCGTTTTCTCTGGCATTAAAGCCGTCACAAACAAACTCGAACAGTGTTATTATTCTTTTCTTGAAAGAAATATATGACTTTAATCTGCAACCAGTTCAGCAGATTGTTATGCAACCGGATTATAACGAGGCGGGGTCACGAGCTTCACGTGCAAAACGCGTGACACAAGCACGTGCTTTTAGCCAATCGTCAGTGACAGCAAGGCGCGTGAGAGAGATGGTTTGTTCGATTGTTTGAAAAGAACAGATCATTACGATGAGAGATTTTCTTGCAATGAAAAAAATGTTAGTGATTGCTGTTATTGGATCATGTTGAAGAGACAGTGAATGATCTATCGTTTGAGAATTCAAAGCTCAACATCGCGCTGTTACTCATTTCAAGCTTTTTACGACGGCCTACGTGGTCTGGTGGATAGAGTGTCTGTCCAGAGAGCGGAAGGGCGGTGATTGGATTCCCGGCTGCGTCATACCAAACGACAAGTTGTTTCCATGCCTGGAACTCGGCATTAAGGGGATAAAACACGGTCTGGCCGGCTTGGGGTCAGTATACTGTGTCTGAGTTGGGCATCCATGTGAATATATATCCATGGTATATGCATGGTATATCCATGGATCTGCATATGGACCACGAATGAGCAGAATGCAGGCTGAGGTAGAACCTGCGCAAACTGCTGTCCAATATCATCCTGTGTCACATTCAGTTTCAACTGGACCCGTGAAGATCCGGGTATCGCTGGAATATTGCTGAGAGCGCCGTTTAACAACAATCAATTTCAACTGATGGCACGTGTGGCCCAGTCGTCTGGTGCGCCGCAATTCGCTGTGTCAGGTGGTGTGCCTTCGGCACTTCAGAAACCTGTGATTGTGGGTTCAAATCCCGCTTCGCCCCTAGTGTGTTTCTAGGTTTGTCAGCACCATACCCGTGCTCGTTGGCTTCACCAGTGTTAAAGTTCTGAGACCTGCACCACTTCAGGTTTTCCTCCAACATTAACTTGATGTGCCGTGATATGACTGGAATACTGTTCAAAGCGACGAAAAACCCAACTCACTCACTTTCAACTGAGTGTGTGATTGAAAAAACCCTCATCAACTCAGTGTCTTATTCGTGTTCAATAATTATTCCTCTATCAATGAGGTTTTACTTCAAAGGCAAAATTCATAACCGACTGTACAATGGCAAATGAAATTGTATAATCGTAGACTAAAGACGTGCGCATGTAACATGATTCCGCATTAGAAAGCAAGGATCACGTCGTCCTATTGTCTTAAAGGGGCATTTGGTGGAATAACTTCTAAGCAGGGACTTTCTACAGAATGTTCCTCTGTCCCAGGGATATTCTATAGATAGTCTCCCGCTCAGGGTACTCTGTTGAATGACCCCGTATCTCGTGGTTATTCAATTGAGTGTCTCCGCTATAAGACTGAAGTAATGCCTTTACGACGTTAGATATTAATGTACTCGCTATTGGATGTCTCTCGTTTGAAATGTATGTTGCATTTGAACACAATCTTCATAAGACACATTACAGTGCTAACTTCAGGAAATGGGAATGGTGTAAAATGAAAGTAACAAATTTTCATTTCTTTTCGGACGAACCTGGAACCTTCGTACATGTTGCCTGGTGAATGAACCATTCGTCTGCATAGGCGCTGATAATCCACAATGATCTTAAGAATCTGGGTGCTGTTGTACAAAACAACCTTAGCGCTACGACTGTCGTACAACTATGTTAAGGTATGGGAGTTACGATCACCTTCGCGCTAAGATCGCTTTATACAACGGCACCATGTTTGTCAGTATTGAGCCATATCTTTAGTTTGTTGTTTAACGCCACGCACAGCAATATTCCAGCTGTGTGACGACGTTCTGTAAACAATCGAGTCTGGGATGCGATGAAATGCATCAACCAAGTCAGCGAGCCTGTCCACCCGATAGCGTTAGTCGACTCTTACGGCAAGCATAGACGCCTTTTACGGTTGCTGAAGACCTATTTTAACCCGAATCTTCACGGGTCGAGATCGACAGAAGACACAGAGACACAGAGATCGATAACAAGACATCCTCACTATCATACAGACCCAAGAAAACGTGTGCAGTGTTTGAAGCAATGTCTTGTTCGGTAAAACTCGACTGTCGAGAGCATTTGAAAAGACATGGACATCCAGCCCAAAACCTAAATGTGAAGTGTTGGCATCGTTAAAGAGATTCTACTATGGACTTATCGAGTCGCGCACATAAGACTGCTTTTTAACTCGACTCGCATTTCTGTTTGATGCACAAGACAAGGTGAGCTACCTCACTCACTCACTCACCTTGTCAGATAATCAGCTCATGCGCACCCTGAGAGTACTCCAAGCCTCCCACGTCTCGGGCTAAATAACTCTAACTGAGTTGTAGTCTTTTTTAGGTTACAACATAATTATAGAACAGTGTCTGCCAAGACAGCGACCACCCTTGAACCAACCAGTATACATGTCAGGTCTCACTAATTACTCGGGGTTTTAGATTCAGGAAATAAAACAACTTGGCGTGTGTTTGAAGTTTAAAAGTAGCAGGATTGGTAGCAGAGAAAGGTTTCCTTTGAACATCGTACAGATAAACTAACATGGGGAGCGAGTGTCCACCATGACGAGGAAGTTCTAGGAGACCAGACATAACGACAGCGCATCAAGGGCTGGCTGGTTTGGTTTGACATCGCACCCAAATGGCGGACGTACAAAGTAACGGGTCACGGTCCTGTTCCTACTGTCAACCAACGACTTACAAACCAACACTGACTTATGAATTCCTTGGGTGTAAATAATTTGTCTCACAATCCATGGACTATAACATTTTCCTTTCCGCCCAGCTTTTTCTGTTATGCAAAATCCCTAAATGAAGCAAGTCTAGATTTTACCTCAGGTTCAGGTTCTGAGTCGTCCATCTCACTGGGGCTCCTTTTCAATGAAAAGGGATTCTTTCTTTCAAAAATGTAATTTCAGATGCTTAACGTTATTCTAGGGTGTAAATTGTCTGTTAACGAACCCTCGGGTGGACACTTGGCTCCATCAAACCCACACTTGGGCACGTCCGGCGGGGGAGAAGTTCTTCCTCCAGCCCAATGAATCTCCTTCCCAGGAACCGGTTCGTATCGTTTCTTGTTCCCGAAGTAGTTGGCCACGACCTGAATAAACCACAAACCTGAATAAACCACAAACATCAATACTTGAACTACAAAGGACACACTATATGACCAGTACCATCAGCTATATCCAAACTATCTCACAGCGGTCTGCGACCAGCGAGTCTGGACCAGGCAAACCAACCAGTGACTGACAGCGAGAGCAACTCTCCATGCCCTAAGGGCGCGATGACACGCCCAATTGACAGGGCGTGGCCGCCAGATTCCCCTGTACGACCCTGAGACACCGGTGACGTATTCGGACCCTGAATCCCCACGAGAGAATATGAAATAGATCATGACTTTCAGACATGTGTACAATTGTCATGTTTATATCACACGATTCCGGTGCTCTAACTGATGACATATGTAATAAGTAATAATAATAAGAAGAATATCATCAATAACAGTAACCTAGGAAAACGTCTTGGTGGGGAATATTTTACGAATATCTATTATCATTTAAGTGGTACAGAAAAGGGTTCCCGGTATTCTATGCTTGTCGGAATTGGTCACGCCTCTATGGATCGGGGGTCAATCTCGGTGACTTGGTTGATTGCGTGTCAAGTATAGTGTACCCTCGCGTCACTACAGGTTCCCGTCAAATACCCGGGATATTACTGTGTGCGGTGTTACACAACAAACAAACAAACATAGTCGTAACCAAGTATCAGCAATGCCTGACGCCCTTGTATGTCCACATTTGCATTGTGTTCTTAAAATGGCTTTGAGCAATAACTTGTTCATTGAGAATTTCTTAAGTGCAACACCGTCACTTTGTGATTTCATGTTTAGTCTAGCCGAGTAGAAAGTGCCTTCGTTTTGGACATTGATGAATGCAACTGCACTGGAAGTTAATGCGATACAGACTTCAGACGCGGCTGTCAAAATACAGGCGCACCATCACCTATTCACAAGTAATATATATCAAGGTCAATGAACCGCGGACAGTACATGTCACATGACTGTGTGGTGCACGTGGGTTTCGTGCAAATCGTTATCTATATTAATGTGACTTTGGGACCAGTTCAAACGTTCGATGTCGAATACGTTTTGAGACATACCACCCAATGTTGAATATCCGACTTGTGTGGCCTCTTTTGACACGCATTCTCGTGTTTTGCACTGTTCTTTTTGGAACGTTGATTGAATGAAGTTTATTTACGAGGTGTTGACAATCATTTGTAGGGCTTTTATGGATCAAATCTGTCATATATTACGTACTGCACAAGATGGACTTTCCGCTATTGGCGGCGATGATAAAACCCAACCTTTGAAAGACTGAATGTATTTCATGATAACTCCTAACATATGAATGAAAACAGGATCCGTTTAGTTTAGTTACTGTGTAAAACACGGAAAATCCGATAAATTCTTTTTGCCGGATAGACAATTTACATGACCATTAACCCATCCACCCCAAATGTGAGGAATAAGACTTTTTTACGACATCGGACCTTTCAACTGGTCCCTTAGGGCTCAGTCACACATTCATGAGATCAGGATTTTTACTGCCGTCCTTGATAGGACCATTTCCGATTAAAATTTGTCAAAAGTCTGATCAAGATCCTGTGATTCGTGGCGGGAAACTCACAAACAATCAGATATTATTCAGGAAGCGTCCCTATTCAGCCGTTTCCAGCCGAATTCGTCCCGATTCTCCCGTTCTCAATCCGAATCTGATCCTATTTGTATCTTTCGCCTGGTAAAAAACGACCGAATCTGTGCCGACATCGTCCTGATTCTCCCGAATGCGATCCGACAGAGATCAGACAGTCACCGGACAGGTATCTGCAACATCTGGACGCAATCTGGACTCAATCGACAAGAAACGGCAATGAAAAATTCATGCCCGTTCATCACGACAGCGTCCCGATCTACAGATCACCGTCCAGACAACACAAGACATTGTTACGATTTTGATCCGACACAGCAGAATCTGTCACGACATAGTCACGATTGTAATCCGACTAAACAAAATCGGCTGAGTTTCCCGAATGTTACGGGACGCACCATACTGTCGTGAGTGCTTGGCTGACCTCTCTGGACCTTCCCCGATCCATAGGACTCTGTTACCAACGTATACGACTGCGTTCAGACAATGAAAGGACATTCAAGATCATTGAGGATAGTAATCCGACTTTTTCACTTTTCGTGTCGTAGCGCTGTCTGATCTCAAACGGAAGTCATAATCGGCACTGTGTGAACCTTGCCTTAACGAACATTGATACAGAAGCCGTGACGACAGTTCCCTCTCGCTCCTAGCGTGCACCTCGCGAGGTTGTCGACATCAGTAACGCGCGTGCCTTCTGTCAGTCCAACAAATTAAAGTACCGGTAAGTTTATAAAAGTAACACGCCATAGGGTCTTATGTTAAACCTGATTATCAATTTTATTAAATCTTCATGATTGATTTTCCGAACCAACTTTTTTGTGTCTATGTGTTAACATTTGTGCCTATTCCATGTAACCCATTTTGGCATTTATTGCACATGACATTCTGAGACTTCAGAAATAAATGTATAACCACGCCATTTTTTTATGTCAGTGTTGTGGAAATATTTTCATGAAGCAGTGGAAATTTGGAATATGTAGCCATGCTAAATCCAGTTCGTGTTAAGCTGAAATACTGTGAGAATTAAAGGAATGGAAAAATTATGTCTTATTGAAACTTAATTACTTGAATGGCCTGTAATGTAAACTGTGTGTCACAGAAAGAGTGATATATGTCATTTTTGTGTGAATAACGAGTGATAGATTTCATCGCTATGTTTATATGTGAATGAGTGAGTAAACTGATTTTAACGCCGATTTTAACAGTATTCCATTTATATCACGGCGGGTCAGCTTATTAGTATGGGAGGAAAGCCTGAGGGGATGCTCGTCTCAGATGTTTACCACTACGGTGAAACCATCGAATACTGGTTTGGTGCTGACAAAACTAGAAAAATATTTGGGCGAACCGGTTTTTGGACCAACGATTATAGGTTTCTGGCGTGACAAAGGGACACAACTCTGCGCCTTAGAATTCATCGCCATTATGCCGTGAGTGGGTGAATGCTGTTGTACGCCGCAGATGGCACTATTCCACCTTCATCACGGCTGTATATACGTCTTCACCAACCCATGCTTGCCGTAAAAGGCAATTAAGCTTGTCTAAAAATGCGACTAACGGGATCGGGTGGTCAGGCTCGCTGACTTGGTCGATACAGGTCATCGATCCCAATTGCGTGGATCGATGCTCATGATGTCAATCACTGGATTGTCTGGTCCAGACTCGATTATTTTACAGACCGCCGTCATATAGCTGGAATATTGCTGAGTGCGGCGTTAAACAACAAGCAAACAAACCAACATCACGGCTGTATGTACATAATCTGGGCCAGGGCATACAGCGGTGGGTGGAATGAGCACAGATCCACGCTGTCGGGGTGCGATGACACGCATCATCTCTGACCACATACATGTATACGCTGGAGTGTTTAGTGCAGCCTCCATGTTGTAGACCTACCTCAAACTTGCCGGAGTCAGGGTTCATGTCCAGGAGCGAGTAGTCGGCGTTCCGGTCGCCGTTGGCGTCGATGCTGACTGTGCCGGTGATGCCTGCAAACAACAGTTGGGTGACAGATGGTTAACTCGGTGATGCCTGCAAACAACAGTGGGTGACACGTGCCTATCTCGGTGATGTCTGCAAACAACAGTTGGTTGGCACGTACAAAAAGCAGTGGGTGAGAAATTATTAACTTGGTAATGTTTGCAAACAACAGTAGGGTGAGAAATGGTTTTCTCGGTGATGTCTGCAAACAACAGTTGGTGAGAAATGGTTAACTCGGTGATGTCTGCAAACAATAGTTGGGTGACAATTGGCTAACTCGTAGATGCCTGCAAACAACATTTGGGTGACACGTGCCTATCCCGCTGTGTAACGTACTTCATCACGTGGTGTTATCACCTCTGATTTCTAACTGAAAACTTCTGCTGTCGCCGGCTTTTCGAAATATGACATGTTTACTATTGACAAAAACAAATACTCGAGATAGTTGTGTGGGAAGCGAACTCTACACTGATCGAGGTAATCACCTTCAAAGGTCCGGTTCCACATTCGCCTGGTTATATTGGCACCGTCAGATATTTTGCCTCCCGCTTGAATAGTCTCGTTCAGGGCCAAGGCATACAGGATGACGGCGTCATGGAAGGCTCCCACGAAACTGTTTACCTGAAGTAGGAACCAGCATTTGTATTCACAATCTACACGCCCAATCAATAAAACTAAATAGTTACAATTTTGCATAAATGTGTTAGTAGTACACGTAGTGATGTTGTAACCTCATAATAATGCAACGTCATTTCCATGTAAAACACTACATTCCACCGTAAATGTGAAAAATGACATTTATCATCCAAAACTGGATCCCACAGTAGATATCGCTTGGGTGAGATCTACATTGTAGATATGGCTGCAATGAAATTGCATCACAATGCTTTGCAGACCATTGTAACGTCATTGGTTACCATGACGTCACAATCAAATGACATCACTAATGGCTCCACTACTGAAGGTGTTAGCAGTACTTTTTACACTTAGACACTGCTTATTACTGTCTACAAACTGAAAAGTTCGGTAGAATGACGTTGGATGATAAATATAATCTCACCCTCGTGTCTGTTGATATCAAATACATCGTATAAAACGATAATAAAAGTGGAAAAATTCCTCGGCAAGCCTTGTAGTTGTTTCCACTTTTGTCAACTCGTGTTGATATATTTGATATCAAAGACACTCGGGTGAGATTCTCTATATCTCCTCAAAAGTTGGTAACACACGATTTTATCTTCATGCTATGAATGATTAACAATAGTAATATGAAATAACAGAGTGTTCTGACTTGAGTTCTATTGATGAGTTTAGTATACGCATGGTGAAAGAGGGTGCGTGAATGGGAAGTAATGTCTTATAGACTTAAAGCTTTACGAAGGTGTCCTCCAAGTGAGAGAATCGACAATAATATTTGCTGTTCTCTGATGAGAGATGGTTATCCCCGGTCGTCAACTAATTAACCATGTGTGGAAATTGTTTAAAGCTGCACTCGGCAATATTTAGGCCACTAGTATATGACGGTGGACTTTAAATAATCAAACCTGGACGAGACAATCCAGTGATTGATGTTATGAAGAACGCCCCACGCCGCCGGGTGTGATATGACACGCGATCGATTACGTCGATCCGTTTGACCGCACGATCCACATAATCGTGTCGTACGACAAATAAAGGCCGAAATACCTATACTAACTTGGAATCACCGCGGCTTTCAACATATCCTGATAGTACCATTCTTCTCATTGCGTTCTCCACATCGTCAGTTTAGCCATACCTCATTAGTACGTAAAAGGCGACTATGCTTGACGTAAGCGACTAACGGGATCGGGTGGTCAAGATCGCTGACTTTGGCTGATGCATGTCATCGTATCTCAAGTGCATTGATCGATGCTCATGATGTCAGTCACTGGATTGTCAAGTCCAGACTTATTTATACAGACCATCGCCATATAGCTAGAATATTGCTGAGTGCGACATTAAACAACAAACAAATCTAATCAAATCATGAGAAAATCTGATGTATTGATATAACCAACCTTATTGCGAACATATTCAACAGTTAGTTGAACTGTAATCAAAGATCAAAGCAACTCCTAATGGCCGTTGCTTCAGCGATATTAGCAGTGTAAATAAAAAAATGGAAAACATTTCTCTTTCTTCATTTTTATGAATGTCACATAAGATCTATTAGTTTCCAATGATCATGAACTGAAGACAAATTTTGCCTATGGATTATAATGTGACGTTTGGGTACAGATGCTGGTAATAGTATTAAGAAAGGGGATTGCTTGATAAAGTCCATTTACTTGATAAAGACACTGAATTAAGTATCTGTAACGAATCCTCCCTTGGTTCTTACTGCAGCTTCAAAGTGCCACTTAAAGATATTATCATGATATAGAACATGCACACCAAGAAATATCCTTCATGAAACACGCCATTGCTTCGCTTCTGTGAACATATAGTATATACAGTGATAATGGTCCAGTCGTTTAAGGCACCGCATTTCGCTGTGCGGAGGTGAGTCTCTTGAGCACGCCTGAAACCTATGTTCGTGATTTCGAACCCCGGTTTGCACCATATCCGTGCTCGTGGGTTTCACCAGGGTTGTAAACGTCTTAGATCTACATCCCTTCGGGCTTTCCTCCAACATCAAGCTGACACACCGTGATACAAGTGGTTTACTGTTAGAACGTCGTTAAATCCAACTCACTCACTCAGTCACCGTTATGTCACTCACCTCTTCCTCTCCGTACGTGAAATCCGGGTACATGACCTGGGCTCTTCTTTTCACCTCCTCCGAGAATTTTCTGTAAGCGGGACTTGTCGGTTTTCGGAGGGTCACCGTCATCAAGGCCTCGTATGCCTTTCGGGCCTTTTCGTTTCTTTCCGGTGGATCATCCTCTCGATACCAGGAAGCCTCGCTTTCATTTTTGCTGGACATACATAAATGTATATTGCATGGATGAGGCATTGGAGTTTTATACGAATTATTAGACTGCGATCAAATAAATATAGGTTTTATACATTTTCAAGTAGATGTATGATGCAAGTATTCACCAAATGCTTTGTGTACACGTGTCCTATCTCGCTGTGAAAATTGTCGTCCCTTAGTCGTGTCAGGATCCGCTTTCGTTTTTTCGATTTCTAGATTTTAGGCCCTTGTCTAGCCAGCACCATATGAACCTTCCTCCAACACAGCCGCCTCGCCGTGATATGACTTGAAATATTAATATTCAATTCGGGCTTCAAAGCCCAACTCACCGACTTACTACACGCGTAATCGTTGTAATAAATAAATACAACTCTGCAAGAATTCAATATCACATTTTGTTTGCTACCTCGTACCTCGTATTTTCAATATCCTTTCCAAATATTCCCACGATGATGTATTTAAACGACATATTTGCATAAATTTTCCCTGATGTTTAAGACGAAAGCAATTTTTTCCACCGCTTTTTATTCATAATCGTGAAAGGTCTGGTATTCCTGATTTGAACTTTAGACGTTTTGCCTTGATCCACTACATATCTCATCTTGAAAATTGAAAATAGTTCGAAAGAAATCGTGCATACCTGGAGAAGAGGTCAATGTTGAAGAAGACATATTCCCCGTTGTCGAAGTTGAGGTCGTGGGCATGGATCATAATGTCTCTCACGGAGTCGGGCGAAGCACACAGGACCACGACTGGAAGAGAAGGGAGATAACTCTCAGGTAACATGTAAAACACTCTGCATATATCATCGCCTTAAAGAGTAGCAGGCATAGGCAAAATGTCCGGCGAAACAATAACATAGTTTAAACATCACTTGTCGTTTTCTCCCATTTTATTAATATCCAGCAATTAATGATTACCATGTTGATATAAGAACGTAGAGACAATGACCATAAAGAAACAGGTTGCAATGATGACAACGTCTCAAAAAACGAGTTCTGTAACCAGGCGACACTGGGACATCGAGCATATAGTCCTGTGTCAACCTACATCAGTAGTAGGAAGGGGGAGTTCTACCGGAACGCAAGAGAACACCTAAAATTACATGTTGCTCAAATGTTAAGATTCGACCCCGCCACTGTGCCTGACCTACACACGCTCTGAATCAAGTTTGCTAAGCTATACACAGGACATTTGACCAGCCTGGCGCTAGCATGTTCTGTTTCATTTGGTGCAGTGAGTATACATGTAGGTTACCGGTTTTGCAATTTCGAGCTGTGTGGTGTCGATGTACCTGCCACTCAGTCCAACTCTCACAACGAGAACGGACTCTTGAAATGCGTCAGTTATTATTGGTTGGGGCAGTTGGCTGGGATGTTCTCTTCCCAAACATGCTTGAAAAAATCAGATGATGAAAAAATATCTGGATACGCTGGATGTATTGAACTATACCACTCAACTCCTGATAAGGATACAGTCAACACGTTTACGGAAGTTTGGAGACAACAACAGATGTAAATGTTTACGTTTGTTTTTATGAAATGAAGCTAAACATGAGTCAGGTCAAGCTCAAATCGCATCCTGTTCGTACAACATCCTAAACAACCAGTGCGATTCATCTACAATCCTGGGGCGGTCGGGTAGCCTAGTGGTTAAAGCCTTTGCTCGTCACGCGGACGACCCTGGTTCGATTCCCCACATGGGTACAATGTGTGAAGCCCATTTCTGGTGTCCCCCGCCGTGATATTGCTGAAATATTGCTAAAAGCGGCATAAAACCATACTCCCTCACTCATTCATCTACCATCCGGACACACATAATACATAATCACATGTTGGGTTGTATAATTTGTAGTGTGGCCCTTAATCAACTGTTTGACTCTCTACCATGTTGCAACTCCTGTCTTTCAGTTATTGTCAAGGCACACACACAACGCGCGAACTGCCTCAATTTGCAGCTGTAAAAATGTAAACTCGCAGTCGGTGGGCATATAGAGTAGCATACTTTAAGAAATAAAATCATCAGCCTTATTTCACACATATTACATGCCTATGTCTTCTTTATCACGCTGACTGATCAATATAACGCATCACATATTGAAGGATGAATATTCCCTTTGATCATCGAGGGCCTGTGGCCCATTCGCAGATGTTGAAGTAGCGACAGATGAAGTAGAGCTGACATACATGACACTGTCCCCCGTTTTCTCTCTACAGCCACCCCCTCCACACACACACACACACACACACACACACACACACACACACACACACACACACACAAACACACACACCTGTCCGTATGTGTGTACGCCAGGTCTATTCATGTTACACAACCCCGTGAAGTTGTATATTCATCAAAGTAAAACATTACTGTACGTAGTTGTCGATAGGAACCCTGAATGTGGTCGATTCCATTTGAGGATTAAAGGCGTGGCTACCTGGCTACTAATCGCTTACAGATTACACCACTGCGGGAGCAACAACCCGCGTCACAGATGTGGAGAAATAGATCTCAGATAGCTCACGCATCATGTCACAGATGTATCACACATGGCTGCTTCATCACTCACGCCGTCTGGCTGGCAACCAGATAAAGTTAATACCAAAAATATGTCAATTTAGTCAACCAACTTTTTGCCCTTTCTTCAGTGGCATTTCGTTGTCAGGTCATATAGTGCGAAGCATATGGTTGGAACTACACACATCAAACTTCACTATTTCAAATACAATAAAATGTGAAGTATTTTAGGTATATCACATGTATTATCTTAATCTGGGAGAATAGGGATTTGTGCTCAACAGCGGATCCCGACAGCTAAGGGAAGTAACTCTACACAGCAAATAGCCGAACAACAGATTGGTCAACAAGTTGAAGTACTAGTCGTTGTAGAAATATATGCAATATTATAGTATATATTCCAGGCCAGGGCGTTTGTGAACAAGTCATTTCGTGATAAAGTTTGCTTTGTGTGTACAAGCCATTAATAAGACAGACAAGCAGTTCAGCGAGGTCAGTGAGCTACACACACTGGGTCAAATGTAGTTGGTGCATTGACCCGCCAAGGTTCCACTGCCAATATAAACAGTGACTGACAGGGGAAGGTTTAGTATAATTGATTGACATATTTTGACACGTGTGGTAAGGAACCAGCAGGTGTGTCGGGAGGTAGTTAGCGGGGAGAACAGCGTAACTGTGTGATGGGCCCATGTGCATCTCGTTAACGGATGAGGTGAATTTCCCCGACACAAAGTATTAACATCATATTTAAAATATAATCCGGAAATTATATTCAAAATATTTTCTGCATCAGCATTGTGATTATTATGATAAATATTTAAAATGCATATATATTTTAAAAGCCTTTCTAGATAGATCATGAAGTAGCATGGATGTTGATCCCTTTTAACCACTGATGAGGATGAGTCATTCTGATACATAGATCATAAGGTGTTCGGGGCTGATTAATTATAATGGAAAATTGAATGTCCTTTGTACACACCTACAGAACAAAACCAGGGGGAAGTGTGCCGTTTTAATGTGTAATGGGTTTCAGCTAATACCCTGTTCACATGCGCACATGTACATATGTGTGTATATGTGCATGCGTGTGTAGAAATACATAATTCATGAGTATACTTGTCATGTGAACGTGTTTACTCATGTGTGTATATTTACACCAGGATCAAATTTGCATCATGTCTGGAGCAGGTGCAAATGTAAATGTAAATTTGCACTGTGCGTATATGTTGCAATGTGAACGTTTATGTTAACGTAAGATGATGATCTGATTAATATCTGTTCTTTTGCCAACACCAAACAAACTGTCAACAGTTGTCAACTTTTATGCGTATATACAGAGTTGGGCGGTATGTATTTTCTTTTGGTTTCAAGGAGTCAAAACTTTATGTACAAATTAAACCAAACACATGTTGCTTCACGCAAAACTTTTCGGTGAAGTAACTCTCTTCTCATTCAGCTTTGTTTGGAAAACAACCTGTTTTGTGAACAGACTGACGAAAGTGTGTGCCATACACAATTTACATACTTTATTTACACACCTGAGATGCTTTTCATGTGAACGCATAGTAATTTTACATATACGCACGTATGTATAGTTACACATTGTGTAAAATTACACACGTTAGTTACTGTTGTAAATGTGAATGGGGTATAAGACGAATAATGGCTATACAACTACGACTTGAGAAATGGCTTTGCATAATTTGAATATGGAAAAGGTTTGAATAAATTCACACATGAGTTGTATATTCTCAAACATTTACATTTTCCAAGAAAAGAGAAGTTTTTCAAACACGATCACAACTATACCTGTGGGTACATATGAGCTATACATGAGTCAGGTATACGCATTTATGAACCTCTAGGCAGCTAAGCCAACATGTCAAGCATCTTTAACCAGGGTAGACATCATAGCAGGCTGAACGAAGTGACCTCAAACTGCCATTTGTAAGAAACAATCCAACATGGCCCTCAATATTTACATTCAATTAGGAGAAATGACAGTTATTTTCTGTAGAAGCAGAATGAGACTGCTTGATAGACAACTGAGATCTGATGTTTGGTTAAGTCAGCGTGTGTTTGTTGGAACAACCAGCCTGACAACCACGTTCAGCTGTACACAACGCAGGGCGGCAGGAGGAGGCGGCTCTCCGCCACAACGCCAGGAGCCTTTAACACATTAGCTCTATCTATCTGTAACGCCGGGAAATGTGTGCAAACTGACCAGGCGGGAATCTTCCGCGATTTGTGTTTATTCACGCTATGAATAAAATGTATTCATATCATAGGCGCGGTATAATGAAGGAGAGGTTATTCCAGATAGTGGAACCTGTTAGTGGTATACTCAGTGAAACTCCTTAGTACAGACCCCGTTAATCCAGAAACCCCGACTACGAGAACGAATACGTTTTGGTTTCCATGACTGCACTACAGGAGAGAATTCTTCAATAGAGGAAGCTACGGTTTGTTTGTTTTGTTTGTTTGAATGTTGTTTGACGCCGCATTCGGCAATATTTCAGCTATATGACGGCTGTAAATAATCGAGTCTGGACCAGACAATGCAGTGACTGATATCATGAGCATCGATCCACGCAATTGAGATACGATGACATGCATCAACCAAGTCAGCGAGCCTGACCAACCGATCCCGTTAGTCACCTCTTACGGGAAGCATGGGTTGCTGAAGACCTATTCTAGCCCGGATCTTCACGGGTCAGGACGGTACGGTGAGCTATATGTATGCGTAATGCATTTACACAGCTAAAGAAATCGGACACTAGATTTGTCCTCGGTTTACCCGTACAAATAATAATAATACTAAAAGGCATTCGTCCCTAATGCATTATGCATACATATAGCTCACCGCACCGTTACACGATTGTCGCTCGAGGCGACTAACGGGATCGGGTAGTCAGGTTCGCTGACGAGGTTGAAGCATGTCATCCCAGCTGCGTAGATCGATGCTCATGACATGAGTCACTGGCCTGTCTGGTCCAGGCTCGATTAGTAACAGAGCACTCAGGAACATTTAAACAACAAACAAACAAACTATAGGGTACCGTTACATCTTGCAGTTGTCAAGCATCTTATAACAGTGCATGCAGCACGCGCAAGTGCATTACAACTACTGCCGTTATTAGAACTACCATGGTTGAAGAACGAAGCACAATGACTGTATACGGAACTCCAAGTTGACCTTGTGCATTCCTTTCGATCCACGTACACTCGC